CAGAAGTCGGTATTTTGTGGAAGAGCCGGTATTTTGTGGAAGAGCCACACTGAACGTGCCAAAGAGCCTCATGTGGCTCATGAGCCTCGGTTTGCTGAGCACAGTTTGCCCACCACTGTCTTAGACCAAAGCTTTTTCCAGCTTGTTTTTAGTCCCAGGGATGCCATCATCCCCTGTGGGTGATTGTGCAGCTCAGCCCAGGATCCCCACATGCCACACTTACAGCAGCAGCACCTCCCATACTGTTCTCTGGACCATTGCCTGCTCTACCCTCATGTGAACCCTGGCTGCTGGTCACTATGGGGCCCCTGGGCTGTGCTGGTGTTCACATGTGTGGACTGACTGGGTGAATAAACACATATATTAATTTTAGAGTGAGAGGGAAATAGGGATAGAGAGACAGGCACACACAGTTCTTTTGTTCCATTACGTTCATACCTTCAGCGGTTGATTCTTGTAATTGCCCGACCGCTGATAGAACTTGTAACCTTGGCATATCATTGAGATGATTCTCTGACCCACTGAGCTATTTGGCCACAGCAAGACATATGTAGCAATTTATGTATCATACCCAATAATGTGTGAATAAATAGATACAAAAACCATCATGATGACAGAGAGTGGTGGAAGGCAAGCTAGGATTCATGGGGTTTCATAAGTGTCTTTTACATGGGTATATTTCAGGTAAACTATTTCTAAGGCAGACTGCATTTTTGCATCTGTTTTTTTATATGCCGAGAATGAGGCACTGATAAGGGCAGGAGGAACTTGGTTTCAGCCATGCAGGAATGCATGGAAACACCAAAGGCATATGCTTAAAAATATATACATTAAATCAGATATACTTACATCAAACTTTAAGAAAGTATTATAAGTTGACAGTTCCCAATAATTCTATTTTACTTTGAGAGTTCTTGAGCATATTTGTTGCTATTGTATCAGTATGTTGCAAGTAAAATATAATGATGTGCTACTGCTATATCTTAACATGTCTATGTTCAATGCCATCATTTTAGCAGTTTGCAACTGACAATGATGAGAGTATTTACAACAGGAAAATTAACAAAGATTATAAACCTACTCTTCACTTAATGTATTATTCAATGCTTAAACTTAAAAAAGTGGTACTGGAGAATGTAAACAATGCAGAATAAATGTATAAGTATATGCTACAAGTTTGCTTAAATTGAACATAAAATAAAAATGAAGAAAAACAAGTTTCCTTCCAGTATTCAAAACCTGTGGTTCCATATAGCAAAGAAGTCACTTGACTCATTGAGGAATGAGTGAAATTCAAACATCTGTCTTAGATTCTACACAGTCCACCTTCAGGTTAAAATAATGAATTTATTTAAACAATTTGAAAGAGATTAGAAGCTGACTTTATTAACAAAGGAGATAAAGACAGTGTAAATAAATGTGTGAAAAACTGTTCACCATCAAAAATTCTTAGGTAAATTGAATTAAAACAAAAGTGAGTTAACACTAGTCTCAATTTTGGGTTCTCTTTCAAAAGATTAACCATTGCGTGTGCTGGCAGAGTTGCATAAAAACTGGATTTATTTTATACTGTGGTTTTGTGGAAGGCAAAAACAATGACCATTTTGGGTCACACTTCCACATACGTTAAGGTGTGAATCATTCACCTACACAACAACAGTTTGATAAGTAAAACATATACATAAATAGAAATAACTGAACAATAATATTCCCAGAAGATTTATTTATGATACCTGACACCTTGAAATAACCATCATCATAGACATATCAAAGGCAAAGTCATTATCCATAGAACACAATTCTACTCACCAATCAAAAAGTAACTATTCACATAGGGATAAGTGTTGAATCTCAAAATAACTGTGTTGCATGAAGAAAACCACTATTTGGTAAACAACACACCTTATAGTGCCTATAAAATTATGAAAAATATGAACTAATCTATTGTATAGGAAGGACTATCAATGACTGCATTGAGGGCTGAGGAAAACAGAGAGATTATAAAAGGGCAGGAGGTATCAAAAATAGGTTTAGATTTGATGGTATGAACAAATATAATTAATAAATAATAATACAAGAATATACTTGGCCCTGGCCAATATGGCTCAGTTGACTGGGCGTGGTCCCATTCACTGAAAGGTCGCTGGTTCCATTCCAGGTCAGGGCACATGACCATCTCCATCACCTGTAGGTGGCAGGGAAGAGGCAAGAGAACATCCTATCTCCCTCTCCCTTTTCCTTTCCTCTCCCTAAAACAAACAAACAAACAAACAATAAAACTAATTATTCAAATATTTTTTAAAAATATATTTTATTGATTTTTTACAGAGAGTAGGGGAGAGGGATAGAGCTTTAGAAACATCGATATGCTGCCTCCTGCACAACCCCTACTGGGGATATTCCCACAACCAAGGTACATGCCCTTGTCCGGAATCGAACCTGGGACCCTTCAGTCCGCAGGCCGATGCTCTATTCACTTAGTCAAACCGGTCAGGGCTATTCAAATATTTTTTAAAAGAATCTCTGTTTAGTATTCTTAGAACTGTTAAATCAATTTTTGCCTCACCTGGTATATTGGTGACAGATAATCATATTTCATGTGTGACAGTTTCACAGTTTTATCCTTATGTCAAAGCTCACCAGGTAGTACACATTAGAAAAGTGCGCTTTGTTGCATGTCAATTCTCATTTCCTGGGCAGAACAGCCTTGTCTCAGTGGCAGCAAATACTGGCAAGCAGTGAAGACTATCGCCATCAGAATCAACAGGAATTCTGACTGGTTACAAAAGACACATTTTTAGACTGATTACAGGATTATCCTTTCCCTATCTTTTAGGTCTTGACTGATGAGCAAATTTTGAGCTGAACAACCCAGAAGGGCCAGGGGAATAAAAAAAAAACCTGTTAGATTATTTTTTTTCTGCCAATGACGTCAGCCACAGGAAACAGGTATGGAGGTCCCGAGAACTGTACACCAAGGTCACGTAAGCCACAGTGCTGGAAGCTGGTCCATCCTTGCTGCTTGACACAGTCACTGCAGGGAAGAAACATCTGCACAGCATATGTTTCAAGGGACCTGGCGTATATGGCATACTCTTCCTAATGTTTGCTCACCTTCTTGGCGCTATGTGTTTTAACCAAGGTCACCTCTCTGAGAAAGGTTGTTTTCCCAGGCAGGGATTTTTCCCTGAAGTTAAGGAGGGAATAAAACCCCTTAACTAAGTGCCAGGCGGGTAGTTAATCACTTTAACTACAAACAATCACGCTTAAGCTACATAATCTTTACTCCCTGGAATGGAGATAAGAAACGCCCTGACCTTTGGAATAGAAATTGATAGGATTAAAATCAACTGGTATAAATACAGATGTAACAAGACAATAAAAGACAGAACCTGGCGACAGAACCTGGCTGGAGAACCTAGACAGAACTTGGCTGGAGATCCTGGCTAGGCTGCTGATCAACTGAATGCTGTCTCCGTGTCATTCCTTCTTCTCCGACTCCGTCCACAACTTTGGGGACCCCTGGACCTGTTGGGGTTTGACCCCAACACCACAGTCCTTTGATCATTTGTGGAAAATGTTCAGAAGAGGCACTTTTCATCTAAGTCACTGTAGTCTTTCCCATTCACTATGAATACAGTGTTTCTGTCCTAATGTTGGTTCCATCTAAACATCAGAGTCTTACAACAAATGACACCAGCATATGAAATTTCATACATCATGGCACATGGCACCTTTACAGTATGTGGGGAGGATTTCCCCTAACATTGCTGAGAATGAGGTAATACATACTGTGATGGAGAATATAATTCACATTGTTCACGGAAAGATAGCGAAGGCCTTCTCTTCATGGAAAACATTGACCTCACCAATAAAAGAGGCACCAGACTGCAAATTAGAACCAGAAAGTACTGCAGTCTTTCTTTTAAGACCTTGGGCAGCAATACAAAATAAGCCAACATTTGACAAAGAGAAATGTTCTGTTATCATGCTATGCCTTCCAAAGCACAGAAAGTTTAGGAGCCACTATATTTTTTTACCCTACATGATGACAGATCACAAGTTTTTCCATTTATCTCAGGGTGTGAATAGAACCAACAAAACTAATGGTACAAAAGAAAAAACACCTTTACAAAAAGATCATAAACCAGAGCAAAGGACAGCGAGAGGTTTGCAAGTTAGTGAAATGGAATATGAAACAATTCATCACATGATGTGAGAAGCACAATGTCCCTGACAGAGGTACCACTTCCTGGCTAAGTACAGGTGCCCTGGACGAAACCTGGGTCAGAACAATCCTCTAGTCATAGAGAAAGGAATGAAGATCCAGCCAGGAGCTCAGAGTATTCATAATTTTCTCAAGCACAACTTCTGAACAAGGAGGGGTTGTGAATGCTGCATACTCTTCGGGTGAGCCAGGTGGTAGAGGTGAAAGAGCTTTTGCACAAATACTCGCAGTGACATCAGTAGGCTTGTGGGCCCAAGGAGGTTAGCAAGTGCAACGCAGCTCCTTAAAGCCCCACTAGATCCTGAAACTTATGAGGAATCTGGCAGAGTGTATGTTCTGACAAAAAGGTTTTTATATTTAGGTAAATGGGTCTAAAACCTTCTCCGTAGGTGTTGTTATGCTGAATCAGAAAGATAAAATATTCCCTGCCCATTTAAAGCTTTTCTCCTGTGTGAACTCTATGGTGTTTAATGAGGTTAGAGCTATCACGGAAGTACTTCCCACAATCACTACACTCCTAAGGCTTTTCTCCAGTGTGAACTCTGTGGTGCTGAATTAGGGTAACTTTTTTTCTAAAGAACATTCCACAATCACTACACTGATACGGCTTTTCTCCCATATGAATACTATGGTGTTGAGTACTGGTGAGGCTTGTCACTCAAAGAGAATACTTTCACACATGAATACCCAAAGAATGCTTTATGTGCAACAAATGCTGCTTCTAACTAAGTCAGGTGCAGAGTATATTTTACCACTGAGAAACAACACTTACACAGAAGGGCTTTCTGGCTTGCTGGAGCTGTGTTAGAAGCCCTGACCTGTGACTGTCCTTCCACAGATACACTCTGCTCAGAAGGTGCCACCTTATCTTCCATTTTCTGACAAAAACCTAAAAACACAGAATGATAAGGAAATGAATGTTGACTGTGGTCCCATGGGGATGATCTGATTCAAACATGTATTCTACAAAATACACTGTTTTCATGCAATTGTCTGAAAGTAAGCAGTGTACAGGAAAGATTAATAAGAGGTTCCAGTGCCCCAGGTCCAAGGACTAGAAGAGATGTAAGACAGTCTCAGGACACCACTATTTCAGAGGTCATAATATCAGGGTTGAAGAGTGGTTAGGGGCACTCAGGCAGGAAGGCAAGCATTTAAGGGCATCAGGCAGGTAGGCAGAGGGTTTAGGGGCGATCATGCAGGCAAGCAGGCAGGCAGGCAGGCAAGCAGTTAGGAGCCAGCAGTCCCGGATTGCCATAGGGATGTCCAACTGCCAGTTTAGGCCCAATTTGACCTTACTGGCAGTTGGACATCCCCGGAGGGGTCCTGGATTGTGAAAGGGTGCAGGCCGGGCTGAGGGACCTGCTCCCTTCCCACTGCCCTGTACACAAATTTCGTAAACTGGGCCTCTAGTAAAATATAATGATTTGCTACTAAAATATATCCTTGTTCAGTGCCATCATTTTGGCAGTTTGAAACTAACCACAATGAGGGTATTTATATGATGGAAATTAACAAAGACTATGAACTTAGAATTCACTTAATGTATTTTTGAATGCTTAGACTTATAGAAGAATGGTGGAGAATGTTAACCATGCATATAAAACCTGTAAGTATAAGGTACACGTGGGCTTAAATTGTACATAGAATAAAAATTGAGAAAATCAGTTTTCCTTACGGTATTAAAAACCTATAGTTGCATACAGGAAAGAAGTCAGTTGAGATATAGAGGAATGAGTGAAATTCAAATATATATCTCAGACTGTGAAGTGTCCTCATATAGGTTAAAATAATAAGTTATTTTTAAAAAAAATATATTTATTGATTTTTTACAGAGAAGAAGGAAGAGGGACAGAGAGTTAGAAACATCGATGAGAGAGATCGATCAGCTGCCTCCTGCACGCCCCCTACTGGGGATGTGCCCGCAACCAAGGTACATGCCCTTGAGCAGAATCGAACCTGGGACCCTTGAGTCCGCAGGCTGACGCTCTATCCACTGAGCCAAACCGGTTCGGCAATAATAAGTTATTTTAAAAAAGGCAAAAATCCTGAGCCAACATTTTAAAAAAGGAGGTAAAGACAATATAAACTAATGTTCACCATCAAAAATTCTTATGGAATAGAATTAAAACGAAAGCAATTTCACATCTAGGCAATTCCAGGCCTACCATTTAAAAGGATTAACCACCAAATGTGATGGCAGGGTTGAAAAAAACTGGAATTTTTATATACTGTGCCTGGGTGGGAAGGCAAAGTGCATGACCATTTTAGATCACAGTTCTGCAAACATTAAAATGTGAAATATTAACCTAGATTGCAAATGTTTGACTAGTAAAATATCTATTAAATAACTGAACACAAATATTCCACACAGATTTATTTATAATACCCCAAATCTGGAAATAACCAATTTTATAGAGAGATCAATATATAAAGTTGTTATCAATAGAACACAATACTCAGCAATAAAACAAATTCAATATTCACATAATAAATTTGTATTGGATCTCAAAATATCTGTGGCATAAGGAAAGCAGTATTTGTAAAAAAGTATACACCTTATAGTGCACATAAATTTATAAAAAATATGAACTAATCTAAAGGATGAAAAATGAATGATTGCATGGAAGACTGGGAAAGTCAGAAACAGATTATAAAAGGGAGGGAGGAAAATGTAGAGTGTGGGAAATGTAGGATTAGAGTTGTTGGTATGAAAAATAAATAATATGTAAATATAGCAGAATAAACTCTGCTTTAACCATGTACCTCATCTGGGTGGGTGTCATCCAGTGCACTGAAACGTCAACTTCAGTGTTGTTATTCTGAGTAAGAAAAAGGAAACATTCCCTAATCATTTAAGGCTTTTCTCCACTGTGAAGTCTCAGGTGTCTTATAAGGTTACATTTTTGGGTAAATGATTTCCCACAATCTGTACACTCATAAGGCTTTTTTCCAGTGTGAATTCTCTGATGTTGAATGAGGGTGGAACTCTTACTGAATCACTTCCCACAATCTGTACATTCATATGGCTTTTCTCCAGTGTGAACTCGCTGGTGCTTATTGACATCAGACCTATATCTGAAAGATTCTCTACAATCACTACACACATAAGGCTTTTCTCCAGTGTGAATTCTTTGATGGCGAATGAGGGTAGAACTCTCATGGAAGGACTTTCCACAACCTGTACACCCATGTGGCTTTTCTCCAGTGTGAACTCGCTGGTGTTGATTGACATAAGACTTATATCTGAAAGACTTCCCACATTCACCACACTTAGAAGGCTTTTCTCCAGTGTGAATTCTCTGATGTTGAATGAGGGTGGAACTGTTATTGAAGGACTTCCCACAATCTGTACACTCATATGGCTTTTCTCCAGTGTGAACTCTCTTATGTATAATGAGGTTAAAGTTTCGTCTGAAAACTTTCCTACATGTGTCACACTCATAAACCAGTTCTCCAGAACAGACATCCTGAGATTCAACAACTTTCTGTTTCTGACCGGCAGCTATTTCACATTCAGCCCACTGGTGATGACATTTTCCACTGAGATATTCTTGTGAAACCTCACTGCCACAGTGTGGTTCTTTAGTGTTCTGAGAAGCCTGGGGCTGGAGAAGCTCTGAGGGAGCTTGGATGTCTTTCCCAACCTCCTTGCTCTTTGAAGGCACCTCTGAGAAGTAGAAGCTGCACCTGGTCACAAATGAGGGCCTGTCCATAGCTTCTTTGCAGGATGTCTCTCCACTGACATCCTTCTGTTGCTGGTGAGGGTTTTCACTGAAACAGAAGTCTCTCACACAAGCCTCACTGAAGAAGCATTTGTGCTCAAAGTATTCCATTTGTGACTGAGTCAGGTGCAAAATATCTTTTAACACTGAGAAAAACCGTTTACAGGAATGCGACTTCTGGGTTGTTGGAGCTGTCTCAGAAGCCCTGACACGTGACTCTCCTTGCACAGAAACACTCTGATCAGAATAGGCCTCCTCATTATCCATTTTATGCCAACAACCTGAAAACAGAAAAAAGGTGAGGAAATGAATGAAGACTGCAGTGACAGGGGGAAGTTCCATTACAAAGTAGGTGGCCTATGACAGCTGGGCTCCATGCAATTTTCAGAAAAGAAGAGGTGTGCAGGAAGCATTAATAAGAGGCCTCTGTGAAGTTCTGGGCCTCTGTAGATCATAAAGAAGGAAGACTACCCTGGGAATATGACACAAAGATGAAAAGCACCACATGAAGAGAGGTAAGACTTCTAGCCCTTTCTTAGGCTAACAGTGTTCAGTAGGGCTTGTTTGCAGGTGACATAAGCAAACTGTGCAGAATTTTGCTTATGTCTTATTTAAATAAAAATTCAATAAATGAGTAGCTGGTGTTTGAAACCTACTTAAGCATATATGTGCACTTCATAACACATGTGTAAGTCAGTGTTAAAGAATACTGCAGAGGCAGCAATCCAGAGGAACAGGTGATGTAAAAATGCCACAATGTGAACATAGCACAAAGCCAGGAAGTCACAGGTGAAGTGACATGTCAGATAGAGTAAAGTGGGTAAAAGATAAGGTAGGAATGTGATGTAGCCAGTGGCACTTGCATCTGAACACTGATGGGAAAGAGCTGGTTCCTGGTATGAAGGAGGGTTTTACAAGAATAGCCCATGGTTCATGCAAATAAAGACCATAATCTGGCACAGACAGTCACCCAGGAGTTTAGCTATAGGAAAGGAGCAGAGGTAGAAGCCATGGATCCAAATATAGTCACCTTCCCAAGAAGAGAAACAGCAGGCAGGATCCATTAAGCTGTTTGTAAGACGCCTGACTTCCAGAAATTTCCTGCACTTCCTGAGGCAAATGTTGTAAGAGAAGTTTGTGGAGTCTATTGATCAGGGCTCTCCACAGTGCTCAGCACTGGCAGCCATAGCACATTTGAAAAGACAGTGAGGAATATTTGCAGAACCCATGGTCTGGCCGTGAGAGATAGAGTGCAATGCCTGGAGAATAAAGTAAGAGAGAACGTCACCTCAGGACACAAGGAGAGATGTGAAGGTCTTACCTACAGATGCTACAAGTGCAAACACTTCCAGCATCACATTGCAGTACAGATGTCTCTGAACCTCATCAAGAAGCCCCCACTCCTCCTGAGAGAAGGCAATGACCACGTCCTCAAAGTTCATATCCTGTCATAGTGGGGACAGTACAGACCATGATCAGATTCTCTCCTAATATTCCACGTCTGTCAAACTGTTAACCCACCACATCCATCTGCTCCCTCTACTTCTCACATCAGAGAAGATAGCAGGCCTTGGTCCCATCAAAGTCAAACTCTCCTTACATTCCTTCTGATGCTGTGTCTTCCCACAACAATAAAGACAGTTGAGCAGATAGAAGATACCGGTACTCTGGGTCTCAATGTGAGTCACATTGCCCCTACTCGATAACAGTAGGTGTCACGTGTTAGGGTAATGAGAGCTGTTGCACATAAAGGGAGTGTGAGTGATTTGTTACTGGTCTTTTTAAGTAATATGCTTTTTTTCTCTCAATTTTCCCTCCAGGACACCAAAAAACATGGTGTCACACTTCAGCCTTCTGAGTCCAAACCCAGATTGCTGAGGCCATTACATTTCACTACATCATTTTTTCCCCACAGAATTCTTTGAACCACACTCCTCTCATGCAGCTTCATTCCAAGAGACACAACTTCACTTGCTCTGCATACTCCCTACTGGGGATGTTCCTCGCTCTTTTCACACAAATATGCTGTGAAAACGACAGGTTGTTTCCTAATTAGCTTGTATTGTTCTAAAATGTTAAAATGTATTGTTTTGCAAATGTTCGACTGTGAAGTGTCCTCATATAAGTTAAAATTTGGACTGAGGCCCTCAGTGCTTCCAGATTTTTCTGCTGGAAGTGACAGCTTCATTCCCAGGGCCTCAGTCCAAATGTTTACTACATGTGCCAGTCCCTGGATTCAATGCTTCACATGCATTATTATTTCAAGGTAAATAATCAAAGAGATGATTCTCCTATGAACGTAACACTTCCTACTACGAATTTCTCCATCTGAGTTTATGGTGCTTTCATACATTCAGGTGCTAATCCAAACCAATTAGCTTGTTTTTCAAAATTCTAATTGATTATCTCTATAATGTATTTCCCTCTTACCGTCTCCCTTCCTCATGCCAGTGGAGATTTTCTTTTTTTTAAAGAATATATTTTATTGATTTTTCTTACAGAGAGGAAGGGAGAGGGACAGAGAGTTAGAAACATCGATGAGTGAGAAACATTGATCAGTTGCCTCCTGCACACCTCCTACGGGGGATGTGCCCGCAACCAAGGTACATGCCTTTGACCGGAATCGAACCTGGGACTCTCGAGTTCGCAGGCCAATGCTCTATCCACTGAGCCACACCGGTTAGGGTGCCAGTGGAGATTTTCAAGCACAGGTGACACTGATGTCTGCTATCTCATTCCTATTGATCAGTGAGGCAGCCCTCAACAAGAAACGGCAGTTAAGCATATATAGTTTAAGCTCTTCATCTGGCATGTCAAACCACAACAAATGTTCTTTTCAGGAATTACCCTAAAATTCCCCATATATCATCCAGTCCCCACCAGAAATGGACTCACCCTTCTTTCATTCTTATGTTAATGTCAGGGCCCTGCAGCCTTGAATTCACGTACCCTCTCCAAGTGCACACCATTTTTTTCTACCACACTTGTCTCACACCAGCACTCCCACAGCCTAAGCACCCATGTCATCTCCTTGGCCTCATACACATTATTGAGTATGTGTGACCCAGAGAATGCCTAGAAACTTAAAACTGAGTGATGTACTACCTGTAAATCATAGTCCACAACCATAGAGGAAGGGTTGTGTCCTGCTATGAAGGCCTCTGTCCCTGCTTGTTTTTTTCCTTTGACCTCACCTAATGTGAACCACATGAGATCTCAGATATTCAGAGCTCACTTTCATTGTTAATGCACTTGATGTCTCTTCACCAGTCACAACCTTTCATCACTTATGGCCCTCTACCCATGCCCAGTGAGTCTCTGAGATGATCACTCATGCCCCTAAGCCAGTGGTCAGCAAACTCATTAGTCAACAGAGTCAAATATCAATGGTACAATGATTGAAATTTCTTTTGAGAGCCAATTTTTTAAAACTTAAACTATATAGGTAGGTACATTGTTATTAACTTAATTAGGGTACTCCTAGGCTTAGGAAGAGCCACACTAAAGGGGCCAAAAAGCCACATGTGGCTCGCAAGCCTCAGTTTGACGACCATGGCCCTAAGCAATTCCACCAAACTGACTGCAACAACTCAGCCACAGCAATGGTAATCAGAAGCCCCAGTAAGTGTTTAGAAAAAAAAAACACCAATCACAATCTCATCTTACTTACAATATTCTTTGGCATCCAATTCAAAACAAACAAACACAAAATGGTGATCTACACCTCCTATCTGGTCTATACATTTTCCACTACATTTAAGGAAGTATTCCTATTGAACTGCTCATCAGAATTCTAGACGCTCTTGAACTGCTGTCTGAAATACCCTAACAAGCCAGAAAATAAAAGTTTTTGTATCTCCTATGAACATAACACTTCCTAATACGAATTTCTCCATCTGAGTTTATGGTGCTTTCATACATTCAGGTGCTAAATCCAAGCCTTAATGTCAACTCTGACTATTACCTCTCTGTCTCTCTCAACCCCAACATTAGAAAATCCAGGTGGCCACACCTAAATCACCGATCCGGAATGCCACTGCTCCTTCCGTCTCCACAGCCACCATCATGAGCCAATTACCATCACACTCACCCAGTCTATCACAGCTGCTTCCTTCCTAGTCTTTCTACCTCCTACCTCACAGGCATATTGTTCATCATGCTGCAGCCACAAGGAGTCTAATGAGATCTGGGTCAGATCACCTGCCACCACTGTTGCAAATCTGCCATGCTCCCATCACCTGTAGAGCAGACTCCAAAGTTGTCACAAAGCTCCTCTAGACCTGATTTTCTCCCATTTTTAATAATTCCCTCTTTTTATTTATTTTTCTTTATTTTTTAAAGACTTTTTTTTATTGATTTTTTACTGGGAGGAAGGGAGAGAGATAGAGAGTTAGAAACATCAATGAGAGAAACATCGATCAGCTGCCTCCTGCACAGTCCCTACTGGGGATGTGCCTGCAACCAAGGTACATGCCCTTGACCGGAATCAAACCTGGGACTATTCAGTCCGCAGGCTGATGCTCTATCCACTTAGCCAACCTGGTTAGGGCTAATTTCCTCTTTTTAAAAAGAGGATGCCTGCAAGTCCCTGAACTGGTCTGGTCTTTCTTCCATGTGTTCACACATTCTGGGTGGACCTCCCACATCTCATTCCTCTAATTGCCAAAATCAGGGAGCACTTCATACAACCCTAGACCTGGACTTAGGATCTGGGCTTAGTGTTTGTTCAAGCTTCCCAGGCCCAAAGGCTGGGGGAGTGGCAGCAGAGTCCCAGGACTCCACTATCTCAGAGGCCACAAGAGTGTGAGGCCCTGAAATAAGCTCCACAAACCAGTACCCCTAAGACAGTGGTCGGCAAACTGCGACTTGCGAGCCACATGTGGTTCTTTGGCCCCTTGAGTGTGGCTCTTCCACAAAACACCACATGCAGGTGCACATGTACAGTGCGATTGAAACTTGCTGGCCCATGCACAGAAGTCAGTATTTTGTGGAAGAGCCACACTCAAGGGGCCAAAGAGCCACATGTGGTTCGTGAGCTGCAGTTTGATGACCACTGCCCTAAGTGATGTTGCATTTGTAGGAATTTGTGGAAAATAAAGGTCTGTTGAGAGCCTTGCAAACACTGCCAGGATCCATGGGCTCTGGTCACTCAGTACCTTTCCCTAGGCCCAGAGCCAGATGACCTGGAGATGACCACATTAAATCAGGGCCTCAGTCCTAAAGGCACACTCTTGCCTAGTTTGCTATCTTTCAAAGGACTTCTCATTCCTGCCCCCTACTGGTATCTTTTCCCTTCTAGTTTCTTCTTCCCCTGAGCAGTTGGGAAATTTAGAACCCTACTTCAGATAATGTCACTCTTTTATTCTCCACCATCGATGGCCCTAGGTTCCTGAGAATGAAACTAAAACTTCTCACGCAATATTTCGCCTTGTTTTCTTTGTTGCCTTTAGATACAAAACAAGCCCAGCATTCCTGAATTCTTTCATCTCAGCCACACCAACCAAAACCATACAGGGTGGCATTGCAGCCTGTCACTCTCTTTCTTCCATTACACCATGTATCACACACATCACTCTTCTGGATGCTGTGACCTTGGCTTCAGGACCTGACAGGCACCCAAGGATGGAGGGTAAATGGAATGAGGCTGAATAGAACTCTGCAAGCAAAACAGAGTCAGGGAGGCACATAGGCCTCAATACTGGCCATTGCTGCTCACCAAGCTACAGACAAACCACTGCACAAGGGGAACACTGCCTCTGATGCCTCATCCTCTTGTGATCCAGCGCTGGAACTTATGAATATGTTAACAGAACAAACTGTTCAAAATGCCCACCTTGAGAAAGAAGCTGAAAGTAATACACAAGCCAATCACCACGAGTAAATACCCCTGTCCTGGGCTTTCATTGGCTAAATACAGCCATCATTGGGCGCATTGCCCTTTGGGTAACTTCATTTTTCTGGCCCAACAGGTGGCATTAGGATCCCAGTCACTGACTGATCATTACAAACATTGGTATTGGGGCACCCAAGTGCCCCGGGGAAATGCCAACTTTAGGGTTTGGTGGCTGGTCCCAGGTTTCTGGGAAGTGTTTTCTGCAACTGATCTATTTCAAGATATTATTTCAGATTCCATGAGCATTTCAGAATGCTCCCTGAGGTGAAAATCATTATTTTAATTATTTCTGAAGACCAGAAATCTGGATGGATATATTGTTTTTAAGTTTTTTATTTGATTTTTAGTATAGAGAGTAAAGGGAAAGGAAAAGAGAGAAACACTGATTTGTGCCTGCTGCATGGCCCCTTCCACCTACTGGGAATCCACCAAGAAAGCTTGTCTTGTGCCTCACCAGCAATCAAACTGGTAACCTTTCTGTTCCTGGGACTACGCTCAAAAAAAGACCCACTCGAGTCGTCACATGTTTTTAGTTTTATTTAAAAAAAATCACAGTATTAAGATAAATATACATAATACTATCATATTTGTTTAAAAACAAAATTTGAAAGCATACATAGGTGAACAAGTTGACATTTCCTAGATTGTTTACAAGTTTATAGTCAGTACACATTGTGAAGCTGTGGAGTTAAGAGTTATTGAATGTTTACTACATGTGCCAGGCCCTGGATTCAATGCTTCACATGCATTATTATTTCAAGGTAAATCAACTACTTGTAGCGTTAATAAAAGGCAGGCTGAAAGTCAAACCCCTGTATCTCCAACAACAGAGCTCTGGATTCTAATGTTAGGCTCTGCTGCCTCCTAGAGAGTAGAGTTGGTAATGCATAACCATTAGGATGGGCTAGATATTGTTGTGGATAACAAACAGCCCCAAAGCTTTGGTAGATTATATTAAAGAAGGTATCTTTCTTGGTCATATTACATGTCCTCCCTGGTTCTCCTGGGACTGCTATAAAAGGAATCCATCATGTAGATGCCTCCTACATATATCAGAGATGGACAGCGACAGTGGAACTTTCAGTGCTTCCAGATTTTTCTGCTAGAAGTGACAGTCATTGCAAATTTAATATCATAGCCATTGAAACGTCATAGCAATTGAAATGTCATAGCCATTGTGATGTCATAGCCACTTTGATGTTATAGCCATTGTAATGTCATAGCCATTGGGATGGCATAGCCATTGTGATGTCATAGTAATCGTAACGTCAGAGCCATTGTAACGGCATAGCCACTGTGATGGCATAGCCATTGTAGCTAGATAGCCATTGTGATGTCATAGCCATTGTAACATAATAGCCACTACAATGTCATAGCCATTGCAATGTCATAGCCATTGTGATGGCATAGCCATTGTGACTTCACAGCAACTATAACATCATATATATTGTAATGTCATAGAGACGGTAGTTTCATAGACAGTGTAACGTCATTGCTGTTTACTTTATGGCCATCATGACGTCATAGCCACTGTTACGTGATAGCCACTATAATGTCATAGCCTTTGTAACGTCATACTCACTATAATGTCACAGCCATTGTAACATCATAGACTTTGTGACGTCATAGCCATTGTAACATCATAGCCCTTGTGACATCATAGTCGTTGTGAAGTCATATCAATTGTGACTTCATAGCAATTGTGATGTCATAGCCAATATAACATCATGTCCATTGTAAAGTCATAGCTATTGTAGTATCATAGATATTGTAATGTCATAGCCACTCTAGGGTCATAACCACTGTGGCTTCATAGCCATTGTGACATCATAGGCATTGTAACCTCATAGCCATTGTAACCTCATAGCCACGATAATGTCACAGCCATTGAAAAGTCATAGCAACTATAATGCCACAGGCATTGTATCGTCATAGCCACAATAATGTTATAGACATTGTAATGTCATTGCCTTTGTGATGTCATAGCCATCATGAAATCATTGCCATTGTGCTGATATAGCCACGATAATGTCACAGCCATTGTAACATCATAGGCAGCATAATGTCAGACATATTTAAGTCATTGCAAATTTAATATCATAGCCATTGTGACATCATAGCTATTGGAACATAATAGCCATTGTGAAGTTATAGCCATTTTGATGTCACAGCCATTGTAATGTCATAGGCATTGTGATGGCATAGCAATTGAGAGGTCATATCCACTGTGACATCAGAACCATTGTAACGTAATAGCTACTGTGATGGCATAACCATTGTAACTTCATAGCCATTGTTACGTCATAGCCATTGTAACGTCTTAGCAATTGTGATGTCATAGCAATTATAAGATCATAGCCCTTGTGACATCATAGTCTTTGTGAAGTCATATCAATTGTGACTTCATAGCAATTGTGATGTCATAGCCATTGTGATGACATAGCCATTGTGACAGCATAGCCACTATAACATCATATCCATTGTATAGTCATAACTATTGTAATATCATAGCAATTGTAATGTTATAGCCATTGTGACATCATATCCATAGGAATGTCACAACAACTCTAGTGTCATGACCATGGTGCCTTCATAGCCATTGTGACATCATAGCCATTGTAACCTCATAGCCAGTGTAACCTCATAGCCACGATAATGTCACAGCCATTGAAAAGTCATAGCAACTATAAGGCCACAGGCATTGTATCGTCATAGCCACAATAATGTTATAGACATTGTAATGTCATTGCCTTTGTGATGTCATAGCCATCATGAAATCATTGCCATTGTGCTGATATAGCCACGATAATGTCACAGCCATTGTAACATCATAGGCAGCATAATGTCAGACATATTTAAGTCATTGCAAATTTAATATCATAGCCATTGTGACATCATAGCTATTGGAACATAATAGCCATTGTGAAGTTATAGCCATTTTGATGTCACAGCCATTGTAATGTCATAGGCATTGTGATGGCATAGCAATTGAGAGGTCATATCCACTGTGACATCAGAACCATTGTAACGTAATAGCTACTGTGATGGCATAACCATTGTAACTTCATAGCCATTGTTACGTCATAGCCATTGTAACGTCTTAGCAATTGTGATGTCATAGCAATTATAAGATCATAGCCCTTGTGACATCATAGTCTTTGTGAAGTCATA